TGAGTTGAAACTAGGAGGTAAAAGCCTAGCAAAGCAAGGTGGGGGAGGGCCAAGAATTTGGGGGTTGAAAACAGGGGGATAAAAGTGAAGCTGGAACGGGACGGTATGAGAAAAAGCGTAAGAAGATGGGAAGGCTTGAGCAGTAGCATCCAAACCCCTATCTACCCTGCTCGATGCAGCAGATAGGGCATTGTTGATTATCATCTGCGGTGGCCAGAGCATAAAGAAATTGTTTGACGTGGGATTCATAGTATTGCGTGGGCAGGATACTGTCAGGTTGTCCAGGCCTAGACAGGAGAACGATTAGGGTTTTCAACCAAAGGAGTCCGTTTTAAGGAATAAGGAGCCACCTCATTCCAACCCCCAACCTGGACTACCAGGAGGCTGAATTTATCTGGCCTCTAACCATTGACCAATCTGGTATGAGTGGCTCTGAAGGTTCAAAAATGCACCACCCAGGATAGCTCATTGGATCAGTGATGCACGAACACCATCCCACCACGTTAAGGTCCAGTCTCATTGCGATGGTGATATATCTATAGCAGGTTACATAAAAATGACGTTCCTCGAGAAAGCCCACGGCCGATTTAAATGACGTTTCTAACTCAAAGCGCCTACAATGGCCAACTTTTCGGCAGATCGACTGTAGTACGAAATGATGGCACTAAAGTGCACGGTGTATTTATAAGACAGGTGTAGGGATATGGTTGGTGGATTACGCGAATGCAGCGGGGGCTGAGTGAGTCTTAAAGTGGGACGAGATCAGTCTGTTGGGAGGGTTCACCAATTGACTTACAGATGCACAGGCGCTGACGAAGTGTTAGATAGACAACCGCAATCGGTGAGGAATAATGGGTCAACAGACAACCGTAACCGATGCAACACAAACATGTCGACGCGAGTGGGAGTCATGAAAATGTGAGGTGACTACGTGTTAGTGAACGGATGAACTGACGTTCTCCGCTTGGTCGAACATGAACTTATCAGCTGGACTGGAGCGACCCTGCGATTGCATGTGTCGAAACTAGAAGTCAAGCGACCCTTAAAGCAAGATAAGGGAGGGCCAAGAATTGGAGGGTTGTAAACAGGGGGATAAAATTGAAGTTGGAGTGGGACGATAAGGATGAAAAGCGAATGAATGCGAATAAGAAGACAGGAGGGCTTGAGCATCCTCACTCTTATTCACCCTGCTCGATGCAGCAGATGGGGCGCCGTTTATTCTCTATAGCGGCCAGAGCATCAAGAAATCATGTGGAGAGAAGTTCGTGGAATTGTATTGCGGGGGCAGGATACTGTCAGGCTACCCACGTCTAGATATATACGGCTAACTTTATACTAACACTGGAAAATCTAGTCTACTCATCCCAGCTTACGTATTATCACTCTTGGGACTCGATCGGACTGTAAGGATAAGTTAACCTAGCGGCTCTGTTTGTATGGGCTACCGATTGATTTGCGAACAAGAGCACGTGTACGGCGTCCCCCAGAATTTCCTTTGGTATCTGTCGGTGCCTGTCGGTCCCATAGACTGTTCAACTAGTGCGTATTTTTAGATCTGATGTCTGTGAACCGACCCTATAATCTGTGGACATTCCTAGGAATAGTACCTACTTTGATTTAGCTTATCATTTCCGGGGGGAGTCTCGGTTAAGTACTGTTCCTGTCGCTAATGTAATAGCGCATTCATCAAATCAACAGGATATCAGTTGTTGCAAAAGCAACGGACTTGCACCACACCATTTGACTTAACGAGTTGCGGAGATTTGCATACCTTTCTGATACGTTGAGTTATGCTTAGTGATACTCCCTGACCCTTTGATAGTTACGCCTACCGGATTAATTCTTTGCTATGTACCAGATGAACGGAGTTTCTTGGTCTTCGAATATATACACTGAACTTTCGGTGGGACTCGTTTATGTGTTGATCTTATAGACATTGTTTGTATTCCTGTTACTTTGCGGCCCAGCTTCTATGTAAAAGGCTTTGGTCGAGGACCGAACTCGTTCTCCTGTATTGGTTTGGGCGCTCCATTTGTATTTTAACCCACTTGCAAACAATCATTTACCGTCAGTCTTCATCCACATGGTGTATCGACCATTGCACAGTTTTAAAACAACCACTTTACTCCAAGTTGGGTTTGGAGTGCGACAAGCAGTTTACTTCGAAATAGACCTCGCGCCCATCACAGCCATCAGGACCGTATCCGAAATGGAGGAGTTTCGACGTTGCTTCCCCCAATACAGGATACCTTACTTTCTGCATACAGCACGATGAATATGTTAAACCATACAATCACTGGCGTTCCTCTTCTCTTCTACCTGTTTAACCTTGCACACTTCCTGACCGCCATTACCTACTACATCTAACGTACATGACAACAGCTGCCGAAATAGTTGAGTTTTGTCATCTGCGACTATGTACCCACAATTACCCCATTGCGGCAATGCTGGGCCTTAATTTGATGCGGTGGCTTCATGCCGTTTGTCCGGGAGAAAGTAAGAATTGCCTAGGAAATCCACTATCTTAGCGATTAATCGATTATTAACGATTATCGCATCGATTTCGAACGTTCCGGATTATTCTAGTTTCTGCACGTGACTAGAAACCATCTGACACATCGGCAAAAGATATGCAGAACCACTAACCTTGGTATCTGACCTTCCAATTCTATAAGTCGAAGGTCAGTAAGAGACCTATACATACAGCCAAAGTTCGCAGTAGTTGTACAGTGTTTGCTGGCAGCGATAAATACGTTATTTTGTCATGGTCATTGGCGTTCTGCTTTTTTCTTCGGTCGAGCTAGAAGTTTTGTGGAGCAGTAAATTGTTATTTTTACAATTTCGTCTAGTGAAATGATTATAACACCGTTGTACTCCGATTCACTTCGCTCAGCGGCTTTTTTGGTTTCCTGTGGAACCGACCATATGAGAGAGGTCGCGCAATTTCAATTCCAGAAAGTTGGAGAGCATCTCATGATTTACTTCACTGTAAACTTAGTACTTTGTTTGACATTTCATGGGCGATGGGTTCAGCTCTATCGGCTTGGAGCACTTACCTTCGGGTCGTCTTTTGCGATTAGTTAGCTCAACACTTGCTCGTTGGATTGCTACCCCACACTTAAGGTAACCAGATCCATTCCAAATTGATGTAAACACGCAGAGTCACATGCGGTCAACATTAGTCTTCACATGTCTGCTCGCTCTCAGGCCAATTGCCACGTGGCTTTGAGCCCAACCTTCCCCTACAGTTTTGTGAGTCAAACTATTGAGCCGTAAGCCCTCAGTCTCTCCTTGCGAGTGAAGGGAGTTAGGGCAATCTGTGGATTACTTCTGGGATAGGTTCTCTTCGCATCCGCTCATCAACAGCGATGACTGCACATCAGTTTCTCCAATGGTACTTCACTACCATACGAACACAAGTGAAAGAAAACGGCGCTACCAAAAGGCCATACGGACTAAAGCGACCGTTTATGGTCAAGTTACATACACCCTGTCAGCGACCTGCCGTGTACAATTAATGCGCAGACTGTTGTTTGGTTCAGTAAATCGCCTACCGATGGAGAGGTTTTGAATCGAACTACTGTTCCGTCAACCATAGGTCGACTCAAATTGGGCCATCTGTCCAATCAGAGGCAACTGAAAGTTGGAATGGGCCGACGAACTTCGGTTCGATGGTTGACAACTTCATTTCTTGCTACTAAATCTACCATTGCCCTCTCTCGTACTGAGGGTAAACAATATGAAGCTTTTGTTGGCGCGCTGACAGTTGGTATGATTGGCAGGTGCTGAAGTCAACGCAAATCGTTCAGTCATGATTGTTGACTCAACGAACTAATCTATTCCTTTTTACCTAGCGATCATCTGCACATATTTCCCAGTTGGTCATCCTGTTACTCCCGATGTGATCACTGCTGCTTAACCACCTGGTTATCTACCACGACAATAATCCACCGTCATCATCATCAACTGCAGTATGTCATCCATTTGAACTGATGTCTCGCTGCCGTACAACCACAACGACGAATATTAAGAGGGAGAGAAAGTAGACAGCTGAAAAACTCAATCTCTAAGCAAACATTCAGGGTCAAAACGCCACTGCAATTAACTTTGGGATGATACCAGACTTGTTCTGCGGTGGAATAAGTTAGTGGTCTCAGTGCGGAGAGGCTTCATCGCAAGTAGTTGCGAGTTGAATTCTGTTGTGAAATTCTGTCACATACACTTGTGTCACCTAAAATCGAACAAGTTCCCCTTTAAAATTCCCATTTAAGTGTCCACTCTTACAGTAAGGGAATCGGGTCGGCGGTTATTTACTCTTTATCATTGTTCTCCCCGTTATATTTCGCTCAATTCGTTGTACCGGATTTGATGGAGTTGTACCACTTTTGCAGTATATCCTTGTTGTGTCGCAGGGGGTGGATTGTCACCGTGGACCGATGCTCTTGATTAGCCCTATGCTTAATAAGTGTAACCAACTATCCAGTAGGATTGTCTTCCATTCTTTCAATGAGACAGGATTCTGAAACTAGTATGGTAACCACACTAGATCCGCTTCTCAAGTTTCGCACGGCTTACGTCGATTATCCAACGTTGTTGGTTTGCCTCCAGATTAACGGCGCATCGTCTTACGTCGTCTGGAGGGGCCTGTAGTTCACGGATAATCGGAATGGCCAGTCAACGTGCCAAAGGCGCATCAACGACCGTATGAGTCTTGTTGGTAGGTTATATCTTCCGATGGGGCCCGCGAGTTTTGAAGGTGTATCCTGCACAGTGCAGTCACTAACTCAACAGTACTAGCGTTTTCGTAGTTTTCGAACCGATTTTTTTCCTTTTTTACCTATCGCATTTTTTCTACTTCTCTTGTTTGCTTTGGTTCAGCTTATTGTTTTTTACTATCTAGGATCTAACAAAACTGGTGTTGCTCGCGTCTTGCATTTGAGTGTATCCCAAACGAACTGTTTTGAGTTCACGGGGGTAAACTGTTTTCATTTTAATTTCAGTTCAAGACACTGTGCTTCAACTGAAGCGGTTCATCGATGCAACAGCCACCTATCATGATGAGTGTTATCAAGTAATGAAACAGGCCAAGATATTCCCGCTAGAAGTGGACCTAGACCGAAACGCATTTACTTATGACACGGGGATCATCAATACCGGAGAGGACGATGCGGAACTGGGCGAAGACGTTGTTAGTCGTGAGCCATCGTCTAACGATGTGGGACACACTGAGCTTGCGTGTGATATCGAATTGATTGATTTAACTCATACAAACTCAGCGGATGAGCAAACGCTATTTCGGGATGACGAAGGTGATGTTCCACCCCTTGTTACGAGCGACGTTTTTCGGAACTTTGCTTTAAACTCCGAGAACAATAGTGACCAAAATCCGAACAACCTATCTTACTCCCACTTATTACCTTCCAAGTAACAGCAGTTCAATCTTGTTATCGCTATTTTTACATTTGCGACCGCTCCTTTGACTTCTCCCCTATCTAACTTCAGTTTGAATATTTTCGGTGTTCATTTGGCCTGTGTCGCACATCGGTCACATCTCTCTGTCGTTGATCGCACAGACTGTCCCATTCCATCTCCTCCCCACTCTTCGGAGCACTTCCCCATGACATGAATCGGAGCACACCGACACGACAAACCGTTTGCAAAAAAATTTGATCTTGTTTTTTTCAATCTTTCATATGCTTTGCATTTGTCGATCACCAGCGGATGATCCTACACACATTACTCCATTTATATGTGACTTAACGCTGGCACTCGTTTGATGTTATTTCGCCCTTCAGCTGTGATCTTGGGGAAATATTCCCATTCATTGTTTATTTTGTCCTCCCTCTTGTTGCACGCTACTCTTCTCACACCATCCCTGTGTGAGAAACTGGGTGATCGTATTTTATTCTAGTAATTACACTAACCTCGCTTAGCGTTGAAGGGCAACTGTAAGACCGCACAGGAAAGCGCACGAGTTACATCAATGGATGCGACTGTGAAGGTATCCATTCGAATCGGGATGTCGATGTCAAACGCAGAAAGGTAAAATCTTTGCCAACTTTTTATATCGACTTAGCAGTAACATAGTTGTTTTGTTGCGAACGGGCAGTTATGGCAACCAATGAGTCTATGGCGCCTAGAGAGACGCACTTGGGTGCAATGCTGCTTGCAATCCGGGAACACTTGCAATTTCTGCAGTACATATGGTTTGAAGACAAACTTCCATTATCCACAGACGTGACTCGTATAAAGTGCTTCAATCAATTTGTTCTTTCAGATACACGAGCAAGTTTCTCATGAAGTATGTAAACATTTTACTTGCTCCATAGTCGAACGCTTCAAACCGCGCGAAGGCATACGTCGAGCCATCGGGAGGCTTTCTATTTGTACACATTTATCGTATACTCCATGATCGAGCACCGTTTTTTAGCGCCTCACGATGCAGGTTGTTAGAGCGTGCTGGGTGAGAATTGGCCGATCAGGAGTGCACTGACGATATCGTTTGCTGTTTGACTGTCGTCAGATGACACAGCACTCGGTAAACTTTCCCGAGTGGTCTTGTTCCTTAGTTAATATCTGTTGTGCCGTGCGACTACGTCGTTCACAGGGAATTATTTCCGTCTTCATCTTTAAACAGCAAACACAGCATCCACACGTTTGAACTGCATCAAATTGTTCTATTCGCTGAGCCAATTGCACAGAATTACTTCATTGTAGTCCCGATTCTAGTGGTCCTAGCTGCTTTGACAGCTTTCGTGCTTAGTACTACGCATACAACCCTGTTACCTTTGGGTCGCTTACCCGACTGTGACACTATGATCCATAGAACATTTTCGGAGCTGTACAGTGAACCTAAATCCGCTCATAGGAGGCATTTTCAAGGAAGTTGAGGAACAATTTGTGAGCCATCGTTTGCTCATCATTAGTATACATTTTCAACGTTTCTGACGCAGACTTACACAAGTCGATCAACGAGACTGGACCTTAGCGTGGTGCGATAATTTGCGTACCCCTATGACTCATTAAGGTACGCAGTGACACTTTCTAAATGCCTTCTGAGTTACTCATATCAGACAGGTCAATGGTTATGGATCAGTCTAACAGTTTCACAATCCAACCCTCGTCGGAGGTTAGAGAGAGGTCGATGGCCCTCTCTAAAATCTAACCATGGGAGACAACAGGTCTACGGGTTATATGCTCACAGGTCGATTGGCGAAGAGCACGAGCGCCACACACTGTCTCTGACGGTGAGAGAACACCTTCCGGTGCTCAGTGGTTTGCTACCGCCCGCCTCAAGCTAGGCAGCTCCTGGTCAAATTTTTGCAAACCCGTCAACTCTCACCTGCGGCTGGCCGTGGTCGCAGATGCGTAACCTAATACGGTCGTAAAACGTATGTGCATTGCTCTAAATTTTCATAGGCTGTGTGTGACAGGCCTGAAGCAGATTCCAATGGGTCTCTGCAATCACACTTCCTTGTGGGTCAGGCGATTGAGCCAAAGGCTAGTCATGGCTCTTCGAACTAAACCTCTCTCGGAATGATCAGCTGGAGAGGATCATCAGCTCTCTTCGTGTTTTTCTCTCTCTTCTCTTCTTCCCCGTCTACTGAGCAAGGTACTGCCGCTGACCTCGCAGCTGCTGTCATCGATACATTTATCTCTTCCCTCAAACCTGGAGTTTCATTTCCCTTTGGTTCATTTAACGTCCACACCGTAGGTCAGATCGGCCAGCAGGCGGCACTAACCCACTTTTCCTTCTCTTGGTATTTGTCTATGCTGTGTCTCCAAAGCACGCATACACGAAAACAGCGTCATGACAAATCTTGGCTTCCCTGGTTTTGAATCTGACGACGATAGCTACACTCCGCGTCTCTGACGATGCTGAGTTAATGCCTCAAGGTATTTACGGTGTTGGCATTGCTCCCACCAAACATCTTGAAATCAATACGCTCGACTGAATACCGGTAAAAAGTCGCATGTGCGCGTTCGACTTCGAACCTCTTGAAGTTACTAAGCAGCGTCTGACGTCTAGGTGCCTTTTCATCGCCTCTGTTTATACCTCTACTGAATGTAGTTCAGAGGGTACCAAGGTTGATTTCTATCAATAGCTCTCATCTATTCTTCGCATGGCAAAGAATATTAATATCTTGATTGTTGCTGGCGACATCAATGTCCAAGTGGATCGTCTTTCAGATTGACGCTTGGGAGGCCACTTCGGAGTCGATGCACGCCGAACAGACAATGATGATCGATTCCTGCAACTGTGCGCCGACCACAACCTTTACCTTAGCAGCACTGCTTTCCAGTACAAACGTGCACACCTCGTTACCTGGCGTACACCGCGTTCCTTAATGGTCTGGACCCAATTTGACCATATTGCCATCAACTACAGGTGGCGCACATCAATCTAAGACTGTCGGTCAATTTGGAGGAAGTGCCTGGATTCCGACCATGCTCCATTGCGCTCACACTTGGCGCTCACTCTTCCCGCTTCAAAGAAGTGCCTATCTTCTACCCTTGTAACTTGAACTCGCAGTCTGCATTACAACAATATCATGAACTAATCCACCAAATGTCAGTGATGAATGAGGTTGGTGAGCCGAATGCTGACTAAGACGTCTTACATGTGCCACGAGGAATGCCTTTGACGCCAGCTTTGCATCCAATTTGAGACGTCGTAACTGTGAATGGATCTGTGTGCCATCGATCAGCTTGATCGAAGCACAGAAACAGGTTCCGCCAAGTTTTAGAGCAGCGACACTTACAGACGACCGACTATGGTAGTTTTCATTAACTTGAAAGCTGCCTTCGACTCTGATAGACGCGTCAACTTGTGGCACTGCCCATCTATGAAGGGCGTGCCGGCTGAATTCCTTTCCATTCTCAAGTTTCTCTACCGTGACTCCCAAATCCGTGTAAGGGTCTACGGGAAATAGTCTCCTGAGTTCCCCACGACGAAGACTTTCGCCAGGGTTGTCTTATATCTTCTTTCCGCTTCAGTTTTGTGTCGAAATGATCATGAATAACTCGGTTCTTTCTGACTTCCACGGAGTAGAAGTTCTGCTAAGTGGCCGACTGACAAACCTGGAGTATGCGGACGACATAGCTCCACTAGGGTCCGACGCAGTGGTTATGCAAACACTTCTGGATAGGCTGACGCGTAGCGCTGCACGCTTCGGCATGTACTTTACACCTTCAAAGTACAAAGTACTGCTACAAGACTGGACTAACACCTTCGGTTTTGGCTATCACTGGAAATGGTGGATCGGTTCACTTACCTTGGTAGCTGTGCCACCTCTGGTGGTTTCATCAATGGGAAAGTTACTTCGCGAACCAGCAAGCCTCGTGTGGCTTTCCAGAGACAGTCACCTATGGAGACGGCGGGCTGTTAGCCTGTCAGTGGAATTTAGGGTGCATAACACTGCGGTGACGCCTGTGTTGCCGTATGGATCAGAGACCTGACCAGTTTGCAGTGAAGCTATTAAACGCTTGGCTTGTTTGACCACCGGTGCTTGCGGAATATTGCTCACGTTTGGTGGGAACACCGGGTGAGCAGCGCTGAAATCCGCCAGTTGATTTTTGTCAAAAAGCCTTCTGTTGCCTCACTGGAGTGTTTACTGGATCTTAATCGCTTGCGTTGGCTAGGCCTTGTCCTCCGTATGCTCGTTGGCCGGCTTCCTCGGCGTGCATCATACGCCGTGGCTGCACCAAGTTAGGCCAGACAGCGAGGTGGCCAGTCCATGACATGGCATAGAGACATGAAGGGATTGATTGGGAGACTTGGTCAAGCTGGTGCTTGTTGTCTTCGTAAATGGGTGTTTCGGAATGTTGCACACCGTATTAGACATGGCGCAGTCACGTAGTCAGTGCCGTTCCTGCATTCGGTTCCTTGCATCTGGTCGTTAATTTCCTTCCATTCTGATTAATTTAACGCACTACCTTCTTGTTTTCATCTTTACATTCTATTTGCCTTTGACCCCACTATATTGCCGTTATTTTTTATTGTTATTCTTGCGATGTGATTCGTGCCAACTGGATCCACCGCACTTCCATGCCCAGATCATAGTTGTTCAACTGAACTTAACCGATCAACCTCACTCACGTGCATTCGTGGCCACACGCAGTCGGTAACAAACAGCTGGTGACTGACGCTAAGAATTGTAAGAATGCTGAACCCTGAGGTTGTATTGGCTTTCGCAATCGGTACGTGGTCGTATAATTTCATTTCAGTAGCGCAGAACGTCATTCAACTCACCTGCGTATTCTCTTTAGAGAAACGCGGTAGTCATAACGATGATGGTGACGTATGCAAGCTGCATTAAATCATTCTGACAGAAATATGTGGAGAAGTCGCCACATTAATGCGACGGCACAACAGTGTGAGCGGTGCAGTACGATTTTGCCCAAAATGCAGAGTCACCCTTACTGTACACTATTTGTACACATGAAGAATGCTACATCCTTTGGTGAACACCAGGATTCCACCCTTGGAACTAAGCATGACCACGTTCGTACCACAAATCGGCACTTTAAGCTCAGCCTCTAGTCCGGAGAAGAGAGACAAACTCTCCAATCGCACTTTAGTGTCTGTGTCTTCAAGACTCTTGGTCAACTTCACCCCTTAGCGTATCTGCCTCCACCCCTTTTAATGGTGCGGAGCACATTAATTCGATGGCAGTGGTGGCGGCTCGGAGACAATGTTACCATCAATGCCGAGCATCGTACGCACCGCTTGCCTCCACGTAAACTCCGAAAAGGACATGCGTGTCTCCATTAGCAGTGCCGAGCAAAACTGGGTTGTCGCAGCTTTCAAATCAATAACCTTGTCCAAAACCGTATAAATTATTTCCTTCAAACCGACTGTCATCAGAATGAATAAAGGCGCCCTAACTGTCGTTTGCACTGATGTGATGAAACAATAAAGGGAATACTGATGGACGATCACAACCAGTGGAATCCCATTTATGTGATCGGTCTTTCGTGTGAGACAAGCCACGCGCTACCCGAACTCGATGAATTTCGGTAAACCTCGACTTCTCCGAGTGACATTTTCTTTGACGATAAGGAGCGATTGATTGTCGTTGATTCAGCTCTGTTTCTCATCACATCAGTTGCACATACTTTCGGACATTCCTTGCAGCCAACATCCGAAAGAGTGCGGCAAGCGCACGATCAATGAACCATGAAGTTATACGGGTTTGGAAGCACTATTTTACAATCTGTATTGAGTTCTCTGTTGATTTACTCGAAAAACGTTAAACACTAATTTCGCTGTCAAACGGAGGACTTATCGTTTGTAATGCAG